TTAAAAAATTAATAAAAAAACAAAAAGACAAATACCTAAAAAGTAAAAGCAAAAAAATAAAATCTTAATATAGTAGTGCAAAAAACGTGCCCTTAAGATATATTCATTATCAAATCTTAAAGTGTCTCATTTTATCGAATAAAATTATATTTATTGTCATGTACTTAATAATTGCACTTAAGTTCCGTTTGGCTGGTACATTTTTAATTTTGTTTTAATTTTTTTCTTTCATTTTGTGAAAAGAAAAATAAAAAATAAAAGAGCAAAATTTTTAATTTTATATATAGAAGTGACTACAATATTGTCTGATTTTCTCGAACAGAATTTAAGGTTTTTTTAATTATTTTTTATGAAATAATATTTGTTGTTACGTAGTCAATAATTGCAGGGATAGAGTATGGTCATATATTCTAGGTAGATCTGGAATTATAAAACTAATTCAAGTCACGTGGGTCTATCATTTATTTTAAATTTACACATTAAACAATTAATTGTTTATTGAAATATTCTTTTACTATTAATACTTAAAAAAATATTAAATTTGGCATATTTTTTTATTTTTAAAAGAATAGAATATCTTTTAATATTAATTCAAGTTTTGGGCCTTTGACTATGATATCCCTACTTCTTAATCTGAACAAAAAGTGTAGATGAATCCTTTTAGTAATCTTAAATTTCACCATACTTTTAAATTATTTTTAAATAAATTTCATAAATAATCCTTAACCCTTTTACTTTCAATTGTGTTTTCCAATTTTTAATCTTTTAAATTAGTTTTAGACAATTATAGTACTTCTGATAACTTCATCAATTAAAATTTAAATGTGTAACCAAAAAAGGAGCTAAATGGAACATAAATCTTTACATAAAGCCCAAAGCTTCATTAATTTACCAAGAGGCCTAAAACTTGAATCCAATCCTAAGCCCAAAGTGAAATAGATCAAGAAGCCCAAAATGTCAATTTCGCCAGACCCAAAAGGCCTCAAACTTCATTTCAGTCAGTCGGGCACATTGAAGGAAAACCGAAAAGCTTCCATTCCAGTTCCCATCAAAGAGAAAGTCTTCTCTTTTCTTCATTAAATTAAACAGAAGAGATTATCCTTCTCTCAATCCGAGTCCGGGAGGAGAAAACAGAACAGGGCACCCTCCACCTTTCTTCAAATTGAAAACCCAGAAAGCTTTAACCGAGAAATAGAGGGAAAGAAGAAGCTTTTGAGAGCTTGAAGGAGGAAAAGGATAAAATGGAGATAGAATTGGAGCCAAGGGTGAAGCCATTGAGTTACAAAGTGAAAGCAACATCTCGAGAGTCACCCTCTCAGAAAGCGTCTAACGTTCTTGACACCGACCTCAGGACTCATTGGTCCACTGCTACGAATACTAAGGAATGGATCTTGCTTGAGCTTGATGTAAGTAACTGTTTGTTGCTCTCTGGTTTCCTTTTTTTTTTTTGGTATTTATATTTGGAAAATATTTCTGGGTTTTTGTTTTTGAATCCATTTATGTTCATTTTTGGTGTTCTCTTTATGGCTTTGCGGTTCTTTTTTTGTTCTTGCTATGGTGCTTAAAAGCTTTTGTCTTATTCCTATTTTGTTAAGGTTTGGTGTTTCTGGTTTTGTCTGTTTATTGTTTAGTTTTGACATTTGAATAAATTTTCACAGAATTGCTCCTTTGTTTTGAACATGAATAGGAAGACTAGTTTAGTAAACATGCCTGTTTCGAACAGCGGTTTTTTATCCTTTTCCGAACAAGAGAAATGATGGAAAGATCAAACATGAAGTTATACCAAATTTTGAGTGCTATTCTGTTTATGCTAAAATTTTGAAATTATGGCACTGTGGATATTGATACATGTATACCTCTAGGAGCTGAACACTGATGATTCCATTAATGTAATATAAGCCCATTTATGATCTTGTTTTTCTTTGTTAATTACTAATTGGAGTTCCAAACTACATTAACCTAGACAAAGGTGAGATTTCAAGTGATTGGTACTGCCTGGAGACTTTTACCGCCAGAGTTGCTTGATAACTTCATGCTTTCCTCTAGTTTATTGTAAATATGTCGTAGATTCCGAATATCTTTGCAGGAATTTTAATGCGAAATTCAATGGAAATTTTCTAGTTGTCTCTAAATGTATTTTTGTTTGGTTTCCTTCTTCACAGGAACCTTGCCTATTGTCACATATAAGGATTTATAACAAATCTGTGCTTGAATGGGACATAGCTGTTGGCTTACGCTATAAGGTTGGTTCTTCAACTTATTGCCATTTAGGTTTGGCTTCCTTTGGTTATTCTTATGTTGAAAATTTATCTAAATCTCCATGCTTACTTTATTTTGCTAACCTAACTGTTTGCAACTTTTATCGCCCCATATGGTTAAGTTTATTTCATGTGTATACATTCTGCCAAGTGCTGTCTTTACTTCCTTATTTCTGTGATGTTTCGTTTTATTACCTCTTCTTGCTGACATGCTAAGTTTTAGTTTCATCTAGAAAGTAGAAACACCAGATGAAATCCAAATATGCTGCAAAAAGGATGATTGTTCTTTTTTAGCAGATAACTAAAGTTTAATTTTTCACAATATCTTGAATATTGAAATAACTTTTTACTCCAAATAAGTTTTCTCAAGAAGCTGAATGAGCAATTTGGAGAGGGTACTTCCTAAGAAATAACTTAGGTATCCAATAAAGCTGTTTGCAGGCTTGTTATGCACTCCTTAGTCTAATTTCCTTAGCCGCTGCAGAGCTGCTGATTTATTTATTTACTTATTTTTGAATTAGAATTGCCATGATATTTGTGATCCTAAAAATGCTGGTGCTAATAATGAGTGATTGCCCTTCTGGCATTCTCTGACTGTAACTGCCACTCTGAAAGCAGACAAGTAGTATTTCACTTGTTAAATAAGAGATTCTCAGGAAGTTTTCACTCTTTGGCTGATATCAATCTCATTATGTGCAACATAATTAACATTCTTTTTCACTCCTATAAGTGGTCTACCGAATGGCAACACCATTTTCCTGCATTACTTGGAGGTCTGGCCTATGATTTCCTGCATTAACAGACTTCTGAGTTGAGATGTAAGTGGTGAAATTAGAAAAAAGATAATAATAATAATAAAACATCTTGCATTAATTTTTCTTGTTCATCAGTATACTGGGGGAACAAAAGACTTAACGATTCAGGCTAAGTGCATTGTGATCCTCTCCTAAAGCATCAAAAGAGCCTTTAAGGGGTCCATATAAGTATCCATTTCCTGAGACCTTGCAAAAGGAGACTTGACCCAGCAAGAGGGGCAAATGAATGGAGTGAGCAAGCATAGAGTATGCTCCAAATCCCAGCCAACAACCTTGAAAATCTCTAGCATGACAGGAGTTCATAGCTTTGAATAAGGGCTAGACTAGAATGCATAATATTTTATTGCCTCTTTGTTGAATAAAACTATCCCCTAACTTGAAAGTTTCATGATGCTATATCAATTAAGACTCTTCTTCTTTTACCCAGCAACAACTAATTACGTGCAGCAATGACTTGCATTCTTGCACCTTTTTCATTATTGAAATTACAATGTGATATTTATCTTGGGAGTCATGGTAGTCACTGCATGTTGGATTCTAGAATGCAACTTATATCCAATAATTTTACTGCATGTCTAGTGACTGATTTTTCTTACAGCCTGAGACATTTGTAAAAGTTCGCCCCCGCTGTGAGGCCCACGCCGTGATATGATGTATCCTATGAACTACACTCCATGCCGTTATGTACGAATATCTTGTTTACGAGGAAACCCAATTGCAATTTTTTTATTCAGGTAAACATGAGAATTATGTAGTCCTTGGAGACTCATTCCTCCATGAATTCCTTATTCTCCTTCCACCACCCACCCCCCCCCAAGTTTAGTACATAGTTGTTATTTGAATAAGCTAATATTTATTGTTAGAAAGTTAGATGCCTGTGAATTCTTATTTTGTAGTAGATGTTTTTATCCCTTTGCATGTGAATTTATTATTTTGTGAAGCATCGAAGAGGTCGTAGTCAAGACTTTATCTTTTGTCAACTCTCATAAGGATCATTTAGATACTACTAAGAGAACATCTCATCTCACAATTGGGTCATATGAACTTTGAGAGCTTGGATGGTGCCAGTAATAAATGCTTAAAATTTCACCATCTGACATTGTAAGAAATGATGAAAATGAAAGCAATGGCAAATCCTGTGTCCTTATTTGAATCATAGGCTACAATTTGACAATGACTGCTGTTTGATGGTCACTAAGAGGCTTATTCCGCCTGTTTTCCTTCAGAGTTAAATTTATATTTTTTTTAATAGATCATTTTAATAATTCTGAAGTATTTATTTTTTTATTTTTATTATTGGCACTAAAATTGTTTAAATATTTCTTGCCTCAGTTGATTGGGATCTCAGTTACTGGTCTTGAACCAGAGTTTCTGCCAGTTGTTAATCACCTATTGCCGCACATTATGTCACACAAACAAGATGCTCATGATATGTATCTTCAGGTGAGCATCTTGAAAACATTGCCCATAATGCTTCTCAGTGTTGCTGCCTTGTATCACCATGTTTCTTTGTTCATTGCCTTCTGATGCCCATTAGTTTGTAGTTG